AAATTCGAGATAATGAACGTACTCATCACCCCAGAAAGTTTCCTCTTCCCCCTTTATAACTTTTTTCTTAATCATAATCGTAATACATTTTGTTTAGCTGTGAGAATGTATATATGTCAACTGTCATGACCTGAGATATTTTCTAATGTGTTTTTTCAGTGGGCCAATTTTTAAACTGATTAAATATACATAACATAAAATAGACTATAAACATTTCTAGGATAAATTTCTTATGTTTCCTTGAAGGTTTGTTTTGTTTTGTTTTGTTTTGTTTTGTTTTTTGCAGGGGGAGGTAATTAGGTTTTATTTATTTAGTTAGTTTTTTGATGGAGGTACCAGGGATTGAATCCAGGACCTTGTGCATGCTAAGCATGCGCTCTACCACTTGAGCTATACCCTTCCCCCTCCTTGAAGGTTTTTTGACGTCAACTACTGTTTTGTTTCATTTCAGATTATGAAAAAGGAGGTGTTTTAAAAGTTGAAGATTTTGAAAGAAAAGCAAGGGAAGGTAAGTGTCAGTGGAAACCCTTGAAGGCGAGCCTGCAAGACTGCACCCAGAGTCACCTGATGTGTCTCAGCCAGCTGAAAGCCTCCCAGAAGGCTGCTTTCCTGTCTTTGCCAGGAGTTAAAAGCATTAAGTGGCAAATAAAAATATGAGAACACGAGGGGCTTTGGAGAAATGGTGAAGACCTTCTCTTCTTTCTTCATTTCTTTCTTCCTTTTTTTAAATTTAAATAGTATGTTATCAATGTTACTGAAACACTGAGCACCAAAATATACGGGAAATAGCCACAGAGGCTTCCTTGAAAGAGTCCGTCAGAAATAGAAATAAATGATCTCATCCTCTGGCTCCGAAGTAGGGCTAACTGGTATTTCCCTGTCTTCTGGGCCCCAGCATTAATAATATCTAAGGGACTTAACTAAAGTAAGCCCTAACAATAGGTCGTAGAAATTTAGCAAATAACCTAGAACCTGGCTACCTTTGAGTAGGTAAGATGTCACATCATAAATATGCAAGTTCTTGAGAAACTGGGGTCCTGCAGAGGCTGTCAGTGCACATTTCTACCTCCGAGACTCCCAGGCATCTGGGAGCAGGAGATTGGAGCATTCTGCTTTGCTTATTCTCAGTCTGTATTTAGAGAAAATCATATACCTCTCAGTTGGTTGCAGACTTGAATGCCATTCTTCACTCTCTCTCTCCTCCAGTATGTGATAACTTGGAAAACTTCACCTCAGGCAGTCCTTTCCTGTGCATGGATCTTAGTTACATCACAGCCTTGTTGAAGGATGGCTTTGGCTTTGCAGGAAGCACTATCTTACAGGTAAGAGAGGACACCAGAGTCACATAACAGTCTTTTTATTTGGGAGTTGGAAAGAAAGAGTTAAAAACTTGTTTGGTAATCAGAGTGGCTATAGGTGGAATTATGAGGTATTTTTATTCAGGCTATGGACAAGGCACTGTACAAGTCGCCATGATGTGGGAAATTACCTTGTTGGAATGGCAGCCTCAAAGTACACTTGGCCCTTGCACAACATGGGCTTGAACTGGGTCTACTGACACGTGGATTCTTTTCAGTAGTAATACTACAGTGCTACACAGTCAGTGGCTGCTTGAATCTGTGGATATAGAGACATGACTGTAAAGTTATATGCCAGTTTTCAGGTGCTTGGGGATTGTACCCGTAACCCCCTGAGTTGTTCAAGGGTCTACAGTATATTACCAGGCAAGCTATCCCAGAGGTCACCAAGCAGAAAGGCTTGCAGCCCAAATTAAGATCCCCAGGCCACGTGGTTTATTAAATCAATTTCAGAACTCATTGAGGAGCAAGGGAAAAGAAATGGATAGGTGAACGCACAGGGTAGCGAGCAGGAAAGCAGTGCTTTAGTTCCCAAATCCTGGGTTCGTATGTCCTGCCTCTTCTCCACTGCTGATAGTACATTACAAGTACTGCAGTTTGCTTGAGGGGGAGCGAGGACAGAGGTGCCTGGGGCCATCACACAGACTTGCTCTGTCTGGAGCAGCACAGGCACGTGTACACTGGCCAGTAGCATTAGCTCACCCCTTAGCCCATTAGATGGTTTTGTTTGGCAGAGGACATGAGGGACCAGAAGGGTATCACCAGCGAGTGCTTATTTAAGACCTTGTGAGTATTGAATGCCATGTGTCATGTGTATTTTATGTGTGCCTCATATATTTGGTGCCTCTTGGGTCTTAGGTCCCCCTTTGTCTTCCAGCCTTTTCTATAGTAATTTATTTATCTATTCCAAACACATTTTGAGTTTCATCCATCCTATATCCTTTCTTATCTTCTATAGCATAATTGAATAATTGTACACTATAGTTATCAAGATGATTAAGATGTAATCTTTGTCCTCAAATAGCATACACTTTATTAGAGGAGATGTGACAAAAACATAGCTATGGCACAAGGCATCTTTGAACGTGGGTCCAGTAAGTAGACTGTACCTTGTTTACAAAGCCTCCTCCTTCTTTCTTGCCACTTCCCCTTCCTGGGTCCTGATTTTCAGATGAGTTTATATTATATTGCCCCATTTCTTGTTACACAGATCTCATAAATTCATTTCTACAAAGGTATTTGGATTTAATGTGTTGTTACACCTGATGAGAATTTGAGTTACTTGCCAGTAGAGTGTATAGCATAGTGTTTAAAGCATGGGCTCTGTTGTCCATCAGATGTGGGTTCAAGTTCTGGTTCTGCAAGCTTACTAGCTCTGTGACCTTAGATGATCTACTTCCCCTCTCTAACTTTTAGGTTCCTCATTCAAAACACATTAGAGTGCCTATTTCATAGGGCTGTTGTGAAAATTGAGATAAAACACAATGCCTGACACATGGTAAATTATTAATATTGGTATGATTGTTAGTGTAGGCATTTCACACGGACGGATTTGTGGATAAGAGAGGTCATCCTAAGCCCTCAAAACACACTAAGTTAACAACTTCCTCTGCTTAGGCATCAACAATAACCAAGTCATATAAGGACAATTTTCTCCTATTTCCATTTCTAGCATCCTTTTAGTCTTTATTTCAGTGGCAGCAGAATTTGAATCAGGGGTGGACAATCCCCTTTTCCAGAGATCACTTCACCCCTAGGTTGTCAGCTCAAGTCCTGAGGACAGAGGAGGAGCGTTTGGGGGTGGGGATGGGGACACCTGGTTTGACTCAGGTGTCACAGACTGAAATCTCAGGATAATTATTCCCATGCCATTCTTTCCAGTTTTTAACACAGTGACTATAGACCAAATTTCATCAGGTCAACACAGAAGTATTGTGTCACAGGAAGTTAGTACTAGACGGAAAGACTAAACCCCGTCCAAGGATTTCGAAACCTTTGTGTGGGGGTGGGGGATGATGGTGGTGTCTTTATTCAACAATAGCTTATGCAGAATGCCAGTAAAATGATACAAATGGAGCTACCTGGTTGAAGCAGAGGTAAGGGGCCTGAAACTCCTTCACAGTTTTTGTCTCCTTTTCTCCTTTGTATTTTTTTTGTTGGGGAGGGAAGGGTGTGAATTAGGTTTATTTATTTATTTTAACAGAAGTACTGGGGATTGGACCCAGGACTAGCTCTACCACTGAGCTATACCCTCCCCCTCTTTTCTCCTTTGAATACTTCTAAGGAACCCCTAGGATTCTGAAGAAAACAATTTGATAAACACTAATCTAATCCCCTTGTTATGTAGTTGAGGACATTGAGTCTAAACTTTTGCCCAAGGTCACTGAACTAACTGAATCAATCGAGGCACGACCCGGCCTAGAATGCCTCAGATGCCTCGGTTGATTGCTGGTGCTTAAGAAGATGCAGTTGCTTACAAAGTGTAAAATAGGAAGCTTAGTATGTTCTTTCCTACCCCAAATCTGTTCCTGACACCTGTTATATTTAGTTTCAGGATTAGGGAAAACATTCAGAAACCTGTCTCATAGGTCTTTCTAGAAGTCTTGTCTGAGACCACTTCCTGGGGCAGAAGATTCAGGGATCAGATTGGCAGGTCGAAGAGCAATAGGCAGTGGCAGAAGGGAATCTTACAGAGAGGGCTGGGGAAGCCTCCAGAGACTTGGTTTTGGCCTCATGGATGACCTTGGCAGGTATTCTCTGCCCATGTTGTGCTTGCTAGAGTTGAAAATTGAATGAAAATGTGAAGACTTTTTTTTCTCCTTCCCAACAGCTCACAAAAAAAGTGAACAACATAGAGACGGGCTGGGCCTTGGGGGCCACATTTCACTTGCTGCAGTCTCTAGGCATCTCCCACTGAGGCCACGCCCTTCCTCTGAGGCCTGCATTTGCCAACAACCTTGTTAAAGAAAGAACGAGAAAGGAGAGGACTCAGTCATGTTCTGAGCTGGGCTGGGGACAGCCTAGACTGAAGCCCAGCAGCTGGTTTCATCAGGAGGAAGGGGCTTTTGTAGAGTCTAGAGTTGGGTTTAATTAATTTTACACATCTAATGTGAACTGTTTCCTAACCACTCTTCGTGCACAGCTGGTACCAGTGTCTACATCTTTGAGATTCCTTGTGTTTCACAAGAGCCAAAAGGAATAGCTTTGGAACCTAACCTTGGAGAACCCAGGGATAGAAACCTGGGAACCAAAGAAAAATCTCACTTCAACTCTTTTAGTGCCTCATTCCTTTGAACGTTTTTATTTTCCCCTTACATGTTAAACTAAGCTGATTGACTACAATCCCATGACCTATCAACACCAGTATTTCTTTCTTCCAGACTCTTTGCCCTGTCCCACTTTTATCTACACTCACCTGCCCTAAAAAAGAAAGAAAAAATACATGGTTTTGCTTTCCATGTGTAATTTAAAGAGAAAAAAAAAAAGGTACCATATCTGAAGTTGTGACCCTGCTTTGTGTTAGCTCCAATCAGCCAGCGGAGAGCCATCCCAGATCTTAGCAGGGTGGAGAGCAACTCCTAACTGGGCAGATCCCAGCCTTAAGATAGGAGGACATCCAGTTTCTAGGGACATATTTTGGGAGTGTGTGGCTGCCTTGTATAGACCACCTTCTCTTAATCAACTTTCTATCAGTCAACCCTGGGATTAGTGAACATATCCAGCCTTATAGGAATGTGTGTGTTCAGTGCGAGTACCTCCTCCCAGGCTAATGTGTTTATAGTAATTTGTCATCCTAAGCTTGTTTGCTTTGTATTTCTAAGAAATGCATCTATACCTTAACTGTTGGTCTGTAGAGAGAGGCCTGTGGCTGTGCTGGTCAGGGATCTAGATTTTGGTAATAGCCCTTTTCAGTTTGCCCTTTTATTCTGTTTCTTCCCTGGCCCCTGATCATTTTAACTACCATCATCTAAGTTATCTGTCTAGGTCCAGGGTTTCTGAGACCCTTTGGAGGATACCTGACAGTGGATTTGGTTGGCCATTTTGGCCCACATCAGTACAATGGATTCTCACTTTGAGTTTGAATGTTCAGAGCTCTTGATTTTGTGAATTCTTTCCCCCAAAACTCACTACCTTGTACTTTCCACATGACCATCATTTGCTTCTTGTCTGCCCATTCGAGTGCTGTTGGTTGTGAAAGATCTTCCTGTAGTCTGGCTCCTTTGCCTTTTTTCTTTACCTTCAGCTTCTTCCCAGCAGAATATATATCCCCAGACTTGTAGCTTTCACAGTGGACTCTTTCAGCTTTTTCACAAAAGGTACTAAATACACCCAGCCCTCATACCAGTTCCTGGGGAACCTTATTTTTAAAGGTATTCCATTGGGTCTGTATTTAACATCTGATGTGTACAAGTAACTAGGCAAATTTCTATATCCTTATCCCCCAAATTTTAGTTTTTCAATTCAATGTGTAATTTTTTTCATTCTTCACACCTTTGTTTAAATGGAGGTACTGGGGATTGCACCTAGAACCTTGTGCATGCTAAGCATGTGCTCTACCACTGAGCTATACCCTCCCCCCAACACACACTGATTTTTAATTATACTGAAGTCACCTTTAAACCTATTGTCTTTTCCTTGAAAAATGTTAATACATAATGAAATAGAATCTTCACAATTGGAAACAGCCTAGATATATCATCCAGTCTTCTACCCATTGCAGAATTCCCTTAACATTTCCAGCTGGTTGTCATTCAGCTTCCATTTAGGGATGTTTTCAAACATTACTCATTCTACTTTGGGATTGCACTGATGTTTAAAAATCCCTCCCTCTGTTGAGCTGAAATCTACCTATCTTCTCAGTGGTCTTAGTTCTGCTCTAATCCCTCCTTCCACAGCCTTTCAGTCTTTTGAGGAAAACTCCCAAGACTTTCAGTCTCCTCTTTAACATACCACATGGCTTTTGGACCCATTCCCATCTTTGTCAGAAAAGTAGGGTGTTAGAGCCAGTCATCACACACTAAATGTTGTTCCACATCATTAGAGAGAGACCATTTCTTATTAGAAACCAAGTTGTTGTCCCAAAAGATAGATTAGCTGTGTTCACTGAACACTCCTCCAGCTTGATGGCTCCAGAGAGGTGAGACTCCCTGGTATTCATCACCACAGCACATCTCTGAAGATTTCCTTGTAAATAAAGGCCACATATTGTTCAGCAGGCTGCTTCAGTCACTCCAGATACTTTCAGAACTTGGGTAGCTGCGTTGTAACTTCAGAAATATATCTACATATTTTCTGATAATCTTGATTAGACCAACTGGAGAATTAACCAATTTATCCATTTTTAGGAGCAATTTGTAATGAGAATGTCTATTTCTTAGAAAAAACAATTTGTCTAGAATATCCTTTCTATCCCTTGTTATACCTTTTGGGCCTCTTATTAAAGGGTCCTACAGTCCTACAGGGTCTCATGATGGTGGTTACGTTTCCTTTCTGTAAATGTTATATATTTCAAATACTTAGGACATGGCCTGACACGTAGTGGATGTTTTGTGTTTGTTGTCACCGTATGAAGAACATCCTCTGTGGGTTCTGGTTGTCCTTGCAAGGTGTGCCTTAAAAATTCATGTCTTGTCTGATTTTGCTGGCATACTTTTGAAGTCCATGTTCTCCTTGTCTGGGCTACTTTCTCGTTTTCTGTGAAAGATGGCCTTTTTTCACTACAGTGACCTTCCTGGACTCTGCCAGCAGTCAAACAGCTTTTCCCTGTAGCTGCCATCTTTCATTCTGGGCACAATTTTCCTGAGATTCCAGGGAAGTTTGTCACACCCACACCTTTTTTTACTCTAGTATCATGAATTTTCTGCATTTACCTGAAAATTAACAAAATTTCCCATTCCTTCAAAAATATTTCCCAAGAGTAGCTTAGCTTGGTTCAAAAGCATACTGTTATCTTCTTTTATCTTCAAATCAGACTTCTGGGCAAGATGTTCTTTATAGTAGACAAATCTAATGGATCCAAAAAGCTCTTCAAGAGGCATCTCTGGTACTGTGAGGTAAGCGCTTCAAAAATGCACAGCAAAACCACCCAACCCCCACCTCCCAGCCAGGTCAGCCACCAATCTGCAACCAAACATGAACAAATTCTGCTGCTAATCATGTTTTTCCTTTTGACCTGGTTCCTGAGGTCTTTAAACCTGTGCAATGAAATTATTTATTGTTTTATTACTGAACAGACAATGGTGTCCCACAGAGGAAACATAAATAAAATTGAACTATGGTGCTGTGATGGGGAAGTAGTAACTAGCATTTTAAGATCTGGTTTTCTTTTCAGAAAGTCTAGTATACCTATAACAAAGGTTAAAGCAATTTCTGTTTGATTCTGCACTCTAATGTTATACATTTTAAAACAGCAGTTCTAACAAAAATGCATCAATTGATTATTTCTAATTCTTTATCTAAAAATTATATAAATTTACAACCAGCATTTTTTTTAATTGTATAAATCATCTCTTTAGAAAGGATTGCTAACAAGTAAAAATGAATGAGACAGCACCTTAGCAATTTTTGTTTTGGTAATAAAAAGCTCTTTTCAGTCAAATCATAGTCTTCATTTGGAGTTTTTTCTTGGCTTAGTTGATATGCCCTCTTTACAGCAAATTATCTATCACTCATCATTTGGGCTCCACAGGTCCACTAAGCAGAGAAGAAAAAGAGACTGCAGAATTCTAGTGTAAAGTAAATTTATTAAATTAAATCTTGAAAATATGTGACGGTCTTGGGGAAATATGTTGACTTTTCATCAACATAATCTGCAGAAGAGGAGCATTCACTTGCTTGCAAAAGCCATAATCTGTTCCTGGAGGAAAATCAAACAAAGGGAGTGCTACTCTGACACTGTAAGGCATGAGGATGGGTAAGGATAATACTTTAAAATAAAATTAAAGCAAAAATTTAGCATAAGTCCCAGATAGATTCTCCTCCCAAGAGTCTCTCCAAACTGTCTTTAAATGGAAGTTTCTCAGGAATGAAGCTGGCCAAGCAGCAAAAGGAGTTTAAGCATTCCTTATCTTTAAAAGTCCCTATTCACTATTATAAGCCCTTCTTATGTACAGTTACTGCTTAAAAGTGGCCCTAGTACCAACAAGCCCAGCAGGGCCATTTTTGCTCATAATAACTGGGGAAAGTACTCAGATAAAGATGATAATTTTACAGCCAAGAAAATTAATTCAAAGAAATTAAAGACTTATTGACAAAAGTCATTCCTCAGTGAGCAAGACTCTTGGAAAGCTGGGAGCAATCTCTTACTTTGAGTGGAGACACTGCATTTGTAGCCTGCAAGCCCCACGTCCTGAGCAGCACGAGCGGAGTGGCCCTGGTGGAATAGAGCCTTTTCAGTAGGTCAGTAGCAGCTAGAAGAGCAGTGTTGTGACGCTGTCGGTCTGTCTCATAACTTGTGAGGTGGCTCATGGAGCCTGGAGGAAAGAAGAAAGGTTAAATCCCTAATCCAGTAGTGAAGTTTTCTTTGCTAGCAAGCCAGGTTCATTTACATCCACCACATCTGGCTACTGCGGGCCATTTTCCTGATCGCCCCTAATTACATGACCTCAGGATTCCCTTCTCAGCTACCTGAATCCTTACCTAAGTCTCTTCCATTGAAGGCCGCAGTACTGAGGTGATGGACCAAGCTAGAGATATCCCCAAAGCCCATGTTGACACCTTGTCCTGCAAGTGGATGGACTCTGTGGGCTGCATCCCTAAGAATAAAGCAGAGTTCAGGTGTGGCCTCCAGTACAGAGTGAAAAGGGAGCAGCCCCGCTCTGTTACAGTCTTACCCAATGAGTGCCAGCCGAGGCCGGACGTACTCCGCAGCATGTCCCAATCCAAGAGGAAACAGTACTCGGCTTTTGGCATCCACTCTGGCTACACTTGGGGGCAGCTGGCGAGCTGAGACCTTAGTGGGCTTCAGGAAGGCAACTGCATATTGCAGCATGGAGCCAGCCGAGTCGATGAAGTCCGTGTGGTTAGCATCACTCCACTGAGTAGCATCAGCCACAAAACAAAGTGAAATTTCGTAAGTGACTCAACAAGGCAACCCTCTATAACCACAGCCACGGGTAATGGTATCTAACATGCCTAAACTGATCCAGACCACACGCGACAAGTCCCTCAAATGCAAAATGCAACTTCCTGTCACTCTACACAGGCTTTAGGATCAAGCCAAACTGCTCATGAGCTGCCCCATCTACCACTGAGCTTCACCTTTCACCACTCCTACCCTCAAAAAGCACGTGCCAGTCACAAAGCAGCTCTACAACATCCTCTTGCCTCCACGCTGTCTCTGCTTAGGATGCCCTTCCACTTCTAGTTCACCAGGATAACACCTCAGAGCATCCAGAAGCTGTCACATCTTTCTGCAAACCTCCCTCCAAACCTTCCTTCATGTGTCTTCCTCCTCCATGCTCCCACAGCATCCTGTGCATACTTCTATCACTGTACCAAAACTGTCACGTCTATTTTTCTCCCTCACTTGACTATGAGCTTCCTGGAAGCAGGGACTGTGTCTCATCTGTCTATCTCCAGAGCCTTCTACATAGAAGCACTAGTAACTTGCTGAATGAATATATACTAAATAACCCAGAATGGGTCATCATTTATCTTGGAAGCTACTTCAGTATGTTCAATTCCTTTTATTCTTGTTGTCACTGTAGAGCACTGGAGCCTACGTTCTTCACTGTAAACTGGTGGGAAGTCATCAGGAAGGCAGTAGAGTTCGGTGGTTAAAAGCACAGGCTAGAGCGCCAGCCTGATTTCAGAACCCAGCTTTGCCACCAGTTATGTGACCTCAGGCAAGTTACCTCTCTAAAGGAGCAGAATAATAGTACTGACCTCAATGGTTCACTGAATTAAATATATAAAAACATGTAAAACTCTTCACCTGTACCTGGCACACAGTAAGTGCTTGATAAATGTTACCAATTATTATTATTAGTGAATTTAAATAATGTGGCATTTGAGCTCCAAAATTACTGGTGTGTATATTATCTACAGGCTGTGTCTACTCCAGAATAATTACCATTTGTTGAGTACCTATAATGTACTAGGTATGTTCCAAGCCTTTTACATAAATTCTCTCATTTTAAGTTTTTAGACTTTTACTGTTTTTAAACCCTGAGAGGTTAGTGATAACTACTTCCATTTTTCAGGAGGTTAACAAGTAGAACCAATACTGAACCCGTCTGTCTACAAAGCTTAGTCTTAAGCATCCCCCCACCCCCGCACTGAAATGTGCTCAGCCCCTCCCTGGGAACACTTCTGAAGAATCAGGCCTCAAGCAATCCTATTCCTGGGCATATATCCTGAGGGTACTCAAATTCGAAAAGATACATGCACCCCAATGTTCACAGCAGCACTATTTACAATAGCCAAGACATGGAAACAACCTAACTGTCTATCAATAGATGACTGGATAAAGAAGTTGTGATATATTTATACAATGGAACACTACTCAGCCATAAAAAAGAATAAAATAATGCCATTTACAGCAACATGGATGGACCTAGAGATTGTCATTCTAAGTGAAGTAAGCCAGAAAGATAAAGAAAAATGCCATATGATATCACTCATATGTGGGATCTAAAAAAAAAAAAATAGGACTCTAATGAACTCATCTACAAAACAGAAACAGACTTGCAGATATAGTAAACAATCTTATGGTTACTAGGGGAAAGGGGTGGCAAGTGATAAATTTGGGAGTCTGAGATTTGCAAATGTTAGCCACTATATATGAAAGATTTTAAAAAATTTCTTCTGTATAGCACAGGAAACTATATTTAGTATCTTGTAATAATAGCCTTTAATGAAAAAGATGATGAAAATGAATATATGTGTATATATGCATGACTGGGACATTGTGCTGTACACCAGAAATTGACACATTATAACTGACCATACTTCAATTAAAAAAATAAAATAAAAGAATCAGGCCTCAAAGGTTCAGGTACTTAGAATCTAGTAGAGTTGTTCAAAATTATCCAAGTACCCTAACCTAAAAGTTTCTTATCCAAGTAACTACCACTTTCAAGTCAGCATAACAGCAGCCCACAACCCTCAGAAGAGTACACAAATTAATTCCTATTGTTACAATTTCCCTGAACCTCCTCCTCCTCCACATAATCCAGATCAAGTGTTACAAATTCAAAGGGGCAGCTGGTTGGTTATTCCTTTTTTCTTACTCAAAACCACCTTTCTGTATCTACCCCTGCAACAAATCATTAGCTGGTGATACTCACAAAAGCAGAGTTAATGGCATCCACAAACTTCTCCTCATCCATGCTGACCAGCTCTGCTGCATGTTCATGGGACGTGGACCAAACCAAGGAACTCAAAGTGTCTGAGAGCTGTGTCAAAAGACATTGATACCAAAGGCTAACTAAAACCTCTGTTCTTATGAGCTCCCGAGCATTAAGGAAGATAAGGAGGGGAAACAAAGGCACATTCCCTTGAAACCAGAAAAGGGCTGAGAGAAAGTGAAGTTCTAAAAGAGGAAAGCTGGACACACTGAAGCAGACTAGGCAGAAGGACTTACCGGGAGCAGAGCAATGGGCCCAGAGGGAAGAAATCTCTGCCAAGCTACATTGTTCTCTGTGGCCTACAGTAGAGAGAGGAGTTCTTGTGAGAAGTACCTAGAGCCGATAAAACACGAGCAGGGCCCCTAGCTGGTGGGCTCAGGCTCTCACCTCCGATAAATGCAGAGTAGCCACAACAGCAGACTGGTCATAGTTCCAGCAAACATTCTGGATTCCAGCAGCCTGCCGCACTCCCGAGTTGTGACCATCTGCACCGATCTGCATGGAGACAAGCGCCTACTAAGTCTTATAACTTCTTAATAAAAGAAACTCTTCCACAAGTTTGTCTCTGCCTCCTAAAAGCTTTCTCTTGGCAAGCCCATCTGTGGCAGGCACCTCTTTACCATGCCTGCCTCACTCACAGCCCTTAGAGGGTAGCCTACATATGTGATCCCTGCTTCAGCTAACAGACCAAAGCTGGGCATCTGACCCAAGAGGTGCCAGCCAGAGGTTAAACTCAGCCAAAGTCTCTCGATATTTGAACTAGAAAGCAATAAGGCAGGCACTGGAGCTGAACAGTCCTGATGTAAGGTTGGGAATGGCTGCCATCTAAAAAGGGGCAGCTGATGAGCAGAGAGAGAAAAAAATGGGAGCTGCAAGAAGACAAGTACCTACAGGACTCCTGTGAGGGAAAGAACAGCCTCAATTTCTGACACTGGCTCTTGTCCCTGTAAGGCCAGCTATCTTTTATTACAAGATCTACAATGGTCCAGGAGATTGCTTCCTGTACAGGATTTACAACAGGACCATCTTAACTTGAGCTGGTTGGAGTGGGTACCAGTCCTAATAATCAGAAGCTTTACCTAAAATTAACTTGAATTACAGCATAGATCTAAAACTAGAGACCCCAGAATCTAATGAGATGTGGATATGCAAGACCCCTGGTAAAATAAGAATCTTCAACTACCAACAATTTGGTCTGGAGGGTGCTGCCATCACCTAGGGTAATATGAACCCAAGGGCTGGAGTCTGC